ATGGCCTGTGTGCTGAGTGTCCTGAGGGTGCTGGGCCATCTCCCCGAATGGGGCTTCCTCGGGGCTCAGTTCCTAAAGCCCCCCGTGTTCCCCTGGGCTGGCTTGCTGGTGTGGCTCTTGGTACCATGTGTGGGTCTGGGGCACACTGGCGGAGAGTCACCATTTCAGGGTTCTCCCAGCTCCTCCAGGTTTCACTTCTCCGTGACAAAACGGCCTGGCAGTGGGGTAGCAGCTTCCTCCTCGTGATGGGACGGCACGTGCCTTTTCTTTGGGGTGGGCGTCCTCTTTACGTGGACCCCACTGCCTGCAGCCTTGCTGTCCCCAGCCCTTTGCTGGCTTCTCCTGCTCTAGGTGTCCCTGTATCTTTTGGTGGGGGTCATGGTTCGTGGAAATGAGTGGCCAGCTGGGCCTGGACCCATAAGTGACCATCTCTCTTATTTTCCAAGACATGTCTTCTGGTCCCTCCCTAGCTTTTGCTGGGCCCCCAGCACAGGAATCCTACAAGGAAACGGGGTGGCAAATGGGCTGAGTATCCACTGCGGGCCAGGCCTTGGGCTGTGTGGCCCTGGCCCCCAGCGCACTGCCTGGCCTCTATCAAGCTGAAATGAAATGGATGTTAGGCCCTTTGCTTATTATGTGTTTAGTCTCCACAGCAGCCTGTGAGGGGAGTGTTTTTATCCCCAGCTCATCGACCCAGACACCGAGGCATAGCGTGTTTGGTGACTTGCTTGAGGCCACGCAGTCAGAGACGACAGAGCTAGGATCCAGCTCCCGCCCGTGTGACTGGCAGAGGCTTTGCCTTTGACGCTCGGTGCCCTCACCACATCTGTTTTCCTGCTGTGGACAGTTTGCTTAAGCCGACTCCTGGGGAGCCCACTTGGCTCTCACCCCCTGCAGAGGATGACTCAGGCCTCGGGGTGGCGGGGAAGTGCACCCACAAGGATCCTGAGTGATCCCTCTGATTAAGTGACCAGCTGAAGGATGCTTCTCTGGCTTTGACAGCCGCCGCTCCAGCGGGAGAAACGTCAGCCCTGGAGGTTTTGAAGGCCCACGACGGGTGAGCAGCATCTGAATTAAAACCGTGGCGGAGAGCGCCAGGGCCTCGCAGGGCGTTGGAGGAGGGGCCTCAGAAGGCGCTCCCCCTGGGCTAGGCCTGAGAGGGGTGCTGGCCCC